TGTTTGTTTCTTGTCGGTTCTTTTTTGCTTGAAACTGAAAATCATACACGTGCAAATTTCACATCATACACCAATCATCTTTCAAGAGCGATTACTGTAAAAACAACTATTGTCATGAGGAAGTGCAAGTGGTGATGCACTCTCAAAACATTCATTATTATCATATCAACATTGATTGACCCTCATCAATCGCAAATTAAAAACGAAGTTCCCCTACTCCTTTATTAAGAGTATACATTATGAGTCACTGAAACCACTAAGGAGAATCCCAATGATGACATCCTTCTCAACTATTAACCCTGTTGTCTGAATACCACTTATCAAGGACAATCACACAGAAAAACAAGAACAAAGGAATCTATATTGTGTACGCAGATATAAATATAGGTATATATTAGTTGTATTTATGTACTGGCTTCCAGTAAGGTTTTATGAGTAAAAATGGCAATTATGTAGGTAAATAATTTTGTGTCGGGCAATAGTCAGTCAATTTCCATTCAAAGCATATTTGTGGTGAAAAATCGATAACTTTGGTTACTTCAATAATAACACTATAACTTAAATACTTCAATTGACTATTTCCTTGATAATATTACACGTTTATACTGTTTATTCATAAGAACTTTGTGGGAGTAATACATTATATTTATAGTGTATACTGGACTGAGTGATTGAGGAAACAGATTAGTTAATCCCGTTCTATTTCTACCCAAGAGTGTACTAGTATTGCATAGTGCAGGTTAAGTGGAGTGAGTGAGTTTAGTTTTATGCCACTTTTAGCAATATTCCAGCAATATCACGGCGGGGGACACCGCAGGTTAAGTGAACACTGCAGTTGTTGGATATGGTCAAAAAGCTCATGTTTTCCTGGATAGGAATCGGAGCTGAGTGGGTGGGTTTTACGAATAACTTAACCAGTATTTCAGTGATCGCAGCTTCACGTGGAAGGAGAGCCTAAAGTGATACAGGGTTTCAGTGTTTACCACTTTTGTGAAACCTAGGTATGGAGCTGACAAACCTAGAAACAACCAGAGCGTACCTGGGATTCAAACTCAGGATCATAACTCATTGTCTGAGACAGCCCTGTGCGGCATGCTCACCACAGTAGCAGATCAGTCTCACAGCCTTCCATTATTGGTCAGTGTTGTGAGTGTTCCCTAAGCCCTTCATAATATAGTACATAGCATAATATACTACCCAAAGGAAGTTATGGACCACTTGGATCTTTCAGGGAGTAAGGTTTCTATGCAATATTCCAGCAATATCACAGCAGGGTGCACCAGAAATAAGCTGCACACATTGTACCCATGTGGGGAATCAAACTTTGGACTCTGTCGAAATGATTTTAACCACATTTAACCAAACATTCATCACTCATGCGTGGCTAGACAATCCAGGTATAGTCAGGGCCTAAAACTTAGATGAACCAGGTTGTAATCTGATACACATGACATGCCATTGTCAGCCATAAATCAGCTGGTTGTTCAGTAAGTACTTGTGGTTTCCAGATGTTCATATGCAATATTATATACAGGTACGAAAAAACACAGTTCCACAGAATAAGCTTATCTTTTCTATTTTTCTTTGTGAAGTTTGACGCTACACTTAGCATGTTTCCAGCTTTATGACAGCAGTCTAAAAATAACTGACTCAACATCATGGGCATTAATCTATGCAATAAGGATACTATCAGCTGCATCAACCAAGTCATCTTGCCCCCTACTTCTTCACAAGAACAAAAATTGTTGAACTAAATCTCATCTCTCATGGACTAGCCATCTTGCTATTTGGGAAAGATATGATAAATAATAAATCAGAACACACTGATGAAATGGTACTGACACCATGAAGGTAGGGAAGCAATATTATCACGAACAATATTATTTGTTAAATGAGAAAAAGAAGATGAGCTTTGAAATTCACAATGACCATATAAGGTAACCTGTTAGTACAACAGTAACACGTGAGTTTCTATGAAAATTAATAGATGTTGATGGGATCTGGTTTCTACCATCACCTAACTAGAGTACTGGTGAGTTGAAACACACAGCAGAACATTGCTGACACCAACAAACAGCTGTTATGATTGACGTCTCCAGACTTAGTAAAGGGTCATGCTGGAAATCATCATCAAATATCCAATGTATTTTCTCCATGCAATTAACATAAATATCCTAAACCCATTCACACCAAACTGTATTTCCCAAGAGACCATAACCATACCTCTTGTCCAACTTGGTACAGGAAATGTCTTGCTTCATTGAGTAACTTGATTGGATGGATATTTTCAGTGACACGTCTTCTTTATATGGTTGTGGCGGAAAATGGATCCAGCATCTCATTTCGCAATACCACCTCAGCACTTAAGTGACTGTAACTAGCTTACTGTAACATCAGATTGCATTAGTCATTGTGGTAAGTAACTTTGTGAAACGGAACGCTTGGTACTTCCTAAACACAATGGAGAAACACACATGTATTATATTTTTGATAATCAAAGATGGTTGGAAAGAAAATGTACATGAACCTATCAACAGGTATTCACCTGTCCAGTCCTTTGCAAGATGTGTATTTCTTTTCAGTATACAACCAAGAAAAGTACTCATAATGACTCTCATCTTAAAGATATGAATGGAAATCAGTATGTTTTGAGTTGTCTGTAAACAAACAGAATCTTATATCATTTATGAAAGAACTATCTTTTCTTGCCTATACTAAGTTGCCATGGTTGTTAAGGAGTCTGAATTTCTGCAAAATGGGACAAAACACCTGTTGATCTTTCAGAAAACAAGCTTATTGTAAGGACAGTTCATTATGTCCAATAAGGTCTCTCTGTAAAATCCTTTTACGTCTATTGGAACCAAAGTATACATTGCTAGACTGAAACACATGAGAAACAGTGTGTTTAGAACCTGTTCTTAGCGGTACAGGGACAGGTGATGAAGGTACTGATGGTCTATCTGGAGTCAGACATATCCCCCCACAGCAATACACAAGAACATAACAACAGTCCTTACAGGTTAGGCCTAAACATTCACCTATAGAGAACAGGACAATATATTAATCCAACATACCAGTATAGTATCAATGTATAAGTTTTGGCAACACCAACCCATTCTTTGGTTTTTTAATCATGAAAGGAAATAATTCAGTGTTCAGTGTTTTCAAGAAAGTAACTTTAAACGAAGTGCATGTTGGTATATTGAGAAACAAATTCAGTAAAAAGTTAAGAAACTAGTCAGATTTGACATATATTCCAGTAACAGTCACTGATTAGAAATTCCCTGATTTGACAGACATTTCCTTATGTCCAGTGCATTGAAATGTTCGGCAACTCTTTGTTATAATTTATGGTTCACAAATTTGATGACTGGAACTAAAAGGGATGACCAGAAATTAAGGTAATGGATGTTTGTATTTCTACCTGCTCAACTTATAAGTTTCAAATATCATACAAATTTCAAGTAACTACAACTTCATTAATAAATGACTGATCATGACCGATAAATGACTGCAGGGAATACAATGTTTAATGTTACTTACTCTAAACATACAAAACATTCTCTCCTTTAAGCGGTATCTAACAGTATTATTAGTGACAAAAACTAATCAATTTCAAGAGAAATAAAAAAAATAACTGAACATGTACCAGAATTTCCAATTATTTATTTTGTAAAATATTTGTATTTGTAAACCATAAAATATAAACAAATGACCTTAAGTGCTGACTAGAGATATGTCTTGTCAGTAACAAAGTTCACAGTAAATATAATTTGTTGCGACCGACTTTAGGTCAATGAAGATTTGATAACAAACAAAGAATCATATTGTTTACATATGTCTAACTTTAGAGCATCAAGAATCCATACATAGACTTGCACTGAAGATATTTGTTTCCAGTAATATGCGCATATTTCTTAGAAAAAGATGTACAATGTATGTACAGTGTATCAGATACGAAGTGTGTCAACATTTCGTTTACCAGTAGAAAATACCTTAAAGTATCATCAGTTAGTATAGTCTGGAAAATGCTGATGACAGTTTCGTATTTAGTTTTTTGGACATAACAAAACATATTTAAATCCAAACAAGCCAAGTTTTCAAGAAACAAGATCCCAAACATGTAGAATCTGAAAACTGCTGCATCCTAAAATGCATGCCCGAATGCATCATCATGATGCTAAAGAGAGAAAACAATATTGTGAAACACCTGTACGTTAACCATATCATCAATCATCCAATAGAGGTGCGGAATATGTGCAGTTGATGAACTTGGAACATCACACAATTTATGTACAAGTATTTATATGGGTCTTCTTCTGTGTTATCTCAAACCTGGCCTATTCATCAGTGCACCATCGCAACCCTTCGTGTGATTAGTATACCAACGTGAATAGCTGATGAAACTCAGCAGCACCTCAACTACAACATGGCTTGGCAGCTTCACATGGGAGGAGCACCCAGGGCGATCCAGGTCCCACATACTTACCACTTTGATGAGACCCATGGGTATTGTGCTCAAGGATCATAATTAGAATGAAGGTGAAATTAAAACCCAGGACCACTGAATCCTATCATGTCAAAGTGACATAACTCTAAAGCTTAAGCTTATACTGTTGGGTTATATATCACTAACAGTAATACATGGTGGTAAGCTTGTCTGCTTATAACTGAACCTAGTCTTCTCCAATATGATTAATCACAAACTTTTCGAGAGTCCAGCCATACTGAGACAAGAACTCCAAGATGATGCTTCAGACACTGTATCTATGTGGGATCTGAACCCTGGTAGCCAGTGTCACAAGCATGAACAACTGATCCTCCCAAATGCTTCTTATTACCTCATGAAAAGGACTGACAGAGGTTTTAATACATGAATTAATATCCATTTTGTGCTGCTTGCCACAATAAGCAGCAATATGTGATGCCATCTGAATGAAAATATCTAAGTGTCAAAAACACTCCAAAGCCCAAAGACATCTAAAAAGAACCTGAAGTTTTGCCCTTATACTTTTCTTTCCTGTTCAGTTCTGCAATTGATATAGATCTACGTGTACATAGATTTTATACTTATTAATATACTGAAAGATTGTTCAGGCGCCTGAGGTCAATGCTTTAAAAATGACACCCTACACTTCAAAGAACTGCTTTTCCACAGAATAACCCCTCATGAACAAGAATATGGACAAATCAACCAACTTTGATACAAATATCACTCTCTCACCGACACCTTCCAGAGGCACAAAGAGACTATATACTCCCATGATTCAATCATCAGAAACACTTGTCCAATTCCCAAACCATAGTATTCATAGCAAATCTTCAATTCAGCAACACACAAGGTCATACATGTGAAACACTTCGTCATCATCAACACTTCAAAGCCTTGTAAACACTATGTCCTTCATCCCCTATGGGCAAACACAGTTGCACTGTGATATGATAGTGATGAATATAAATTTACCTCATGCAAGAATTTAGGCAATTGAGGCCTCATGTAAGTCACATGATCCCTGTGTTTTGCATGAAGTCTCTTCAAAAGCTACCATTGTTTGATATGGAAGATATGTAGAGTAGATCTACGCAGGTCTGTGGTACATGGTGCTCAGGAGAAAATCTTAATATTGGTAATGTAACCTTAGCTCTTACTGGTCAGAACAGTGGTCTGGTCCCTTTCACTGGAACCAGAAATTGGTTTGATTTGTTTGGTCAAACATGACTACACTTGCAAAGCTGCCATTCACAGGTTCTGGCAGACCATAGTGAATACAACAGTATGAAGTATTAACAACAACATTTATCTTCTGTATTTGTCTCCTTGCATGGTGATAATAAATACCCTTTTCACAAAGTCATCTAGGCACCCAGCCTTATTGGTACGAGAGAAACCACCTTTAAAGCCAGCATTGTATATTATTTTTTTAAGTCATTGTCTCATAATGAGATCTCATAATGTAGCCAATTCATCCTATAAACTTTGATACATTTCAAGGATTCCTTTTACTGTTGGACTATCAGTATATAATCACACTCCACTTTGAACACCATTACTCTCTAAGACCCTTCACTGTGTCCCAGTCTTTCAACCATAGTTATGTGTAATAGATGCATGGTGATATAATTACTAAAAACATTGTATTAGGACTGCTGATCTATGAGATACTCTGTTGCCCTTTCAACATCCCAGTTCCTTGTTGATAAAGCTTGTCTGGCTTCCCCCTGAAACAGGCAATGTTTACATCAGGTTTGCATCATAACTTACAGCATTGTTTTGCTAGAAATAGGAAAGGAAATTACATGCAGGCAGTGATGACAAAAATACTGACACAATGATCCATAATAGAAATGTAATTTTCTGACTAAAATTGATATTTTATACTTATCCTGACTCATGCTAATTATGCTTGTCTCCTTCCTCTTGCGAATGATAGTGGAACACTTGAAATTCCTTGAAGTTCCCTTTAAAAAAGCGGACGTAAAATCACTCACCCAGAAGTAGCTTCCCTTTCCTTCCTTTGGCGCCCAAATGGTCACATGATCGGCCATATTTGTCACTCTCTCCGTATGTAAGCCAGACACCCGGATTTACAGGGAAATCGAGAGAGCCATAAGAGGGGAGGTTGGGAGGGCTAACCTCATGAGTCAGGATAAGTATAAAATATCAATTTTAGGCAGAAAATTACATATTTTTCCTTATCCTGACTCATGCTAATTATGCTTGCAGAATCCGTCGGAAACGGTGGTGGGTCAAGCCACGTTCTGGATTCACTGGTTGTAGATTTACGTCCTGTATTACCCCCCTTGGGAACTTATGACGGCACTGTTGAAGATTCTTTCAACTTCTCTCTGATGAGTCTGGGGGGACCACAACTTGTCAGATTTCTCCGAAACTTCTCCTGACATTTTCGTGTGGATTAAGATATACTAATATTCCATTAGTTATCTATTGCAACTCCATCTCTTGATGCTCGCATCAAGTGGAGATGCGACCCTTCTTCATGTACGAGTATGTCCTATACAAGTACAGGGTCTATCACTTATGCTAGTCTGTCCTAGCGTGTGCATGGACTTTAACCATTTGCTCTCCAGAGCGTTGGTTTTCACAAGTCACGTGATAAAAGGGGTGAGATTTTCTCAGCGCTTTTGTTGAACCGTTAGTTGTTGTGCTACAACAAGTGGCCCAAACTGGTAAATGCCTGAGACGTCTTCGGTGGCAATGTCTCTGAGGTAGTGGTTGGCAAACACCGTGTTCGATCTCCAAAAGCAGCCCTCCATTATACTTGTAATCGAGCAGTTTCCATGCAGAGCAAGTGTTGACGCCAGGGCTCTGACTTCATATGGATTGGAGGCTCGTGGAGGCTCAAGTCCTGCTGCTTTATAGGCCCTTAGTATAACGGCTCTCATCCAGATCGATATCGCTGTCCGAGAGACTTCCGTAGGCGTCTCAGTGGATAAGGGGATCAATAGGCGCTTGAATTTTCGATCTTGAATTTTCATCTCCTGATTTTGTCCTTTGTAGTAGATAATGACTGGGATGTGGAACTGTCTGTCAGGCTGACCAGGCACTTGGTTCTTGGCAATAAAATCCCATCTCAGTCCTAGATGTACGATGTCACGATGTGATGATTCAAATCGTGTTCTGACATCCGTGCTGCTGTTGCTAGGGCAATCAGAAACAGCGTTTTCTGAGTCAGTAGTTCAAAGGTTGTCCATTCTAGAGGCTCGTAGGCATCACTGGTGAGATGTTGTAGAACTATGTTGAGATTCCAGGCAGGAGCCTTGAATTTCTTTTGTTGGTCTTCCAACTTGAACGAGCGTAGTAGTGCCAGTATCTCTGGTATTTTGGTCAGCTTGATACCGCCTTCATGGTGATAACTGTGCAGAAGTATGCAGTGCCAACCTTTTAATGTTGAGAGTGATGACACAGGTATTCCGCCACTTGAGGATGGGTTGCTTTACTGCTGTAAAGCCTTTCCTGCGCGTACTGTTCAAATCTCTGCCACTTGTCGCCGTACATTGCGCCACTTGAGGATGGGTTGGAGAGAACCTCTAGTCTTCAGGCAAGCTTTGATACGCTCCACGCGTGTAGCTGGAACAATGCCGGATTCCCATGAGCTTGCTTGGTGTGTGGATGGACGAGCAGTTTCGACCACTCTGGTAGTTTCAGGGTTGGACTTCCGAGTTCTTGTATGATGGCGGGAAACCATACCCTCGCTGGCCAATAGGGCGTGACCAAAATCAGTTGCAGCGTTGTCGTCTGCTTGATTTTCTGTATTACTTGTGGTAGTAGTGCTGGAGGTGGAAACGCATAAGCGATTAATCCTTCACATGAGACGCTTAAAAGCGTCTGTTGCCCATGCCTGAGGGTCCGGAATCGGAGAGACGAATGTTGGTCGTTGCTTGTTAAACTTTGTTGAAAAACAGGTCTATCAGTGGAGATCCTATTGTCTGTATAACGAACCGGAACGCTTCTGGGTATAACATCCACTCTGTCGGAGATGGGCTAGTGGATGAGATAGGGCGTCTGCTATGACATTCTTTGCTCCTGGGATGTGGCCTGCCTTCATGTAGATGTTCAGGTCGTCGACGATGCTGAACAGGAGAAAGCTGAGTTGTAGCAGCCTCATTGATGTTGTTGATTCTTGTTGATGTAGAATGCCACTGTGGAGTTGTCCGTGTGGACCACGAGTCTTGCGTTCTTTAGTACGCTGGACCAGTGTTGTAAAGCATTGATCACTGCTTTCATCTCCAACAAGTTTATGTGCAGACTCTGATCCTGACTCGACCACTTCCCTGCTGCCACTTCGTTGTCGAGGTGGGCACCCCATCCTTGTAGCGATGCATCTACGTAGAGATGAGTGTTGCAAACCGGCTCTGACAAAAAGGTTCCTCCGCAAACATTCGACTTCCGAGTCCACCATAGGAGGTATGGTTTCAGGCTGTCCGGTAGTATCAGCGGATCCAGACTGTCGAGATGGGTGTTCACAAATATTTGTAGTGGGCGCAGCTGTAGTCTCCCTCTGCGAGTCATGTCTTGAGCTGAGGTGAGTAGACCAAGCATGCTTTGCCAAGCACGTAGTGTCAACGGAGAGAGCATTGCTTGAGATATCATATGTTGTATCTTGACCCAACGATCCTCTGGGACGACTGTGTGATTCTGTGGTGTGATGAGCCATATTCCCAGCAATTGAAGATCCTGTTTTGGTTCCAACTCCGATTAGGAGATTACTAGCCATCTACTGCAATCATGTCCTACGTTGTAGGTACATGGATCTAAGAGCCCTTGCCATGTCCGACATGGAAGCGGAGAGATGATCGATTCTGGAATCATGGCTAGAAGCTTGTCTCATCAATCTTCTGGTATTATGTAATGAAGATGTTGTCACCAGAATCCGAACATTATGCAGCGATGATGCATAATACGTCGTCTCTAGGTCAGCAAAAATCTATCATGTACTGGGACTGCCATCGATGTGAAGTCTATTTATAGTCGATTAGCTGCTGTGAGCAGAAACCATCTCACGCTTGTCGCTGCAAGTCCCCAGAAAACCAATATTAAATCTGCTGACAGGGGAAGTCCTCTATGACCCGTGAAGATAGTCAAACCATGCTGTACCCTGCTAACTGGACTGTAAATGGAGCCTTTCCCATGTTGAAAGAGTTGTTTACAACTGTAGACGACTTCCTGGCACGTGACTATGACGTCACCGGTGTTGCAGGAAAATGATCCTTGTAGAATCTTGTGCAGTCGTTGATTTCTTCGTCAACACTCGGCTTGTGCCGGAGTCACACAAGTGAACACGTGTCTTGATGGCTGAGCGGAAGCGCAAGAAAACAGACTGTTCCCTGTCTGTTGTGACTGTATTCTTCAACTTTATAATCTTTACTGCAGTCGTCATCTTATACAGATGTTCTGTATAGTTGACTGTAACCGATGTCTTGCTGAGGAACTCGCGACAATGCTGTTAACTACCCCTTTGATATCTTGTAAGCCCATGTGATGAAATTTCATCTTCAGTGTTTCATCGGATGTTATCTGACATTGCTACTTCAGGTGTGTGTTTCTTCCTCCAGCCATGGGTTGATCCAACATAGCCAACATCTAGTTGTAGTGTCCAGTTGTGTTATCTTCTTATCTTAAATATCTATTACGGGATTCACTGATGATCTTGTAATCTCAAACCCTGATGTATCATGAAGGGCTCCGTATGATGAAGGGGAAATCTGCTATCGTTGAACGGCAGGACATGCTGACTCTGATTATAATCCTCCCCGCGAGTGCCTGTGCGCAGGTTGATGAATGTCCAAGTTGGAAGATCCGTATCTGCGCAGTCTGTAGAATCCTGGAATCTACTTCTGTGTTAGAATCCTTCCTGCTGAGACGCTGAAACTTCGTGGAGGCTCCATCGTGGACTGCTAACACTAAACTCGTGTTCGTTGAATCCTCCAGGCTTTTAACTGCTGATACTTCTGATGGTAAAGATCTTCGCAAACGTAACTGTTCTTGCAGGCCTTCATCCGAGAGAGCTTATAAAGCTTATATTCCTTCGTGCAGGTCGACTGTCATCGGAAGGGTCTGCTATGTTGAGCTGACGTTAGTAGAGTTCTCCAGACTTCTAACTTCAGACAGTGTAGTGAGACATTTCCCTATCTGAAGATCCATAATGACGTGAGTCTCTGTATGTAGATCTGTATGTAGAGCTGCGTGCAGGTGAACGGTCCTGGTTTGACCGTGTATTCCTCCTGGAGTCTTGAGATATCTTTCTAAGCCTTCACGAAGGCTGATTGACGGAATCTCCCCTCTCTCTATGGGATGATCTGTATGAAGACCTTCGGCGCAGGCGTGCGATCCCGATGCGATCTTGAATCCTTCCTGGAGGTTTGCGATATTACTCTAGGCCTTCGCGAAGCCGGATTCTGTGGACGTAGCTTCCCCTCTGTAGACGTGCCTTCGCGCAGGCTCTTGATGGGCGTCAGAGTCCGATGGAGATGACGACTCATATCTGCGACGTCTGTAGGGTTCGGGAGAACGCCTCGATTCCTTCCTGCGTGGAGACTTCTTAGCAGCACTCTCTGGGGCGTCTACTTCAGATGGGGAAGATTGTCGTGTCCGTGAGCCTTCGCGCAGGCTTCCCTCTTCATCCAGATGTGGTGGTGAGACTGTTGAGCCTTCACGCAGGCTAGTAGACATTGTAGGGGTCTTCATAGCAGCCTTCTCCTGAGCAAAGCGATGTTCCATCATCGACATCATCTGGTCTGTAAACTGTTGCATGAACAGTCCCAGGTTGAAGTTCTGCATTGTCTGAAGAGACTGCTGCAGGGATTATGTATCTGATACTGAAGAGACGTCATCTAAGGCTCGCTGCACTCGTGAAGAGTTGACGCTGCTGCTATCTCTGGTACCCGATGTCTGCGTTGATAGCAGGTCTTCTGTCAATGTCTGCACTGACACCAATGCCGATGTAGCTGTTGAAGCAGGCTTCGTCTTCTTACTGACAATGGTGACTTCAGGTATGAGGATGGGTAGATCATCATAAACATCTGCTTCTTCCGGAGGAACAATCTCGGCTGAGAAAGACCTTGTCTTCTGTGTAGAGCTGATCTTCGACTTCGCTGAAGTCTTCATGGTAGTAGCCTTCTTCTTCTGGGAAGATGAAGATTTGGCCTTCTTCACCTGCGATGAGGTCAGCTCAGTAGACGATGATCTCTAATGGCCTCCGGCGTTCACCCCTGGTACATCGACCTGCTCCAGAGAAACGTTCAGCAATTCACTAGAATATGAATATCTACAGCAGTGGTTAACACACGGTTATCAGTGCAATTACTAGATTTAGACATGACTTGTGAATACCTACGTACCCAGTCCTTAGCATGTCTATGTGTAAAAAAAAGGTTATTAGTAAATTCAACAGAGGTTAAAATTACACAAAACTTACAGTGAGAGCTGAAAGAACATGAAACAGTGCAATTAGGACATAATAAATGAGGGTCAGCCGCAGACACTCGGTACCTACAACGAATATAAGTTTTCATGAAATGTAAACATGAAGAAAACACATGTCAAACAACGGAAATTTAAATCAAATTTCCAACCGAAAGTAGAAAATAATCCTAAAAATCGTATACAGCAATAATTTTGATGTAAGGTCCGAAAATATAATATAATATATGTGTGCCGCTTAGGGACCCAGGTGCTCTCACAACCGTCCTCAAGGGCGAAGAAGGAGAGAGTGACAAATATGGCCGATCATGTGACCATTTGGGCGCCAAAGGGAGGAAAGGGAAGCTACTCCTGGGTGAGTGATTTTACGTCTACTTTTTTAAAGGGAACTTCAAGGGATTTCAAGTGTTCCACTATCATTCGCAAAAGGAAGGAGACAAGCATAATTAGCATGAGTCAGGATAAGGAAAAATTAGAGATATCATCCATTTCACCATCAGCCACGTCAGATATTGGACTCATTGGAGGTACATACATCCTCCTTTTTGTCATTTCTTTGTACAACATAATGGGATGCAGTTTTCTCTGAATCCCCATGGAGGGGTATTAACGGGCAGATGAACATTATAATAAATAAACTTTAATAGCAACAACTTAAAAGTACTAACCTCTGCAAATCCCATGTTGACAATCTTGATAACCTTTTTTTCTAATTCTTCCTCTCTTTTTGGCCCTGCAAGTATAATCACAAACTGACTATAGACCGCTCATTATCAGGTGAATTAACTTCAACTTCAATTTCATGAGGTGAAATAAGTGGTAACATCGTTAGAGTTTATTTCACTTAAATTAGTGAGGGAGTTTAGTTAAATGCAGCACTCGGCAATATTTCAGCTATGTGGCGGCGGTCTGTAAATAATCAAGTCTGGACAAGACAATCCAGTGATCAATAGCATAAGTATCAATCTATGCAACTGGGATACGATGACATATGTCAACCAAGTCAGCGAGCCTGAACACCCGATCCCATTAGTCGCCATTTACGACAAGAATGGGTTAGTGAAGATCAATTCTCACCCAGATCTTCGTGGGTTCACTTATATTAACATGGGCATGCATGTATGTGCCTTGCTGCCTGTAGTAGTCTAGTGATACCTTGCCACTGTTGAATACAGATACAGTATCAGGGCTAAGAAAGTCACACCTTGATTTACCCTATTGAGGCCAAGTGTCCAGCAAGGCAACAGCCAGGACCATCTCTTAACACATGTTGGAGTGAGGTGCCCAGGAGATAAATACATTGAAAACCCAGTGCAGATAGACAATACGTCTTATGCACTGAGGCGATAGCCGCCTTTTCAAAACCTCAAACTTGTTACCTTAAATAACATGCATAACAAGATCTTGAAACTTCACAGCAAACCACCCTCAATCAATATACTGGTGCTGAACATTTTGCATGTAGAATTATAAACTGTTATTTCAATTTGTTTGACATTATTCTTGCTTAGAGTGAAAGGCATAAGGGAAATAACGCCTCCAAGACACACCACTTTGCTTGATACAAGAGGCTGAAAGGGCAGATAACTCCTATTGGTATATTGTTATTTTGTCATTATGGGGCACCTTGTGTAAGTGCATTATATTTTCCATTATGACATGTTAATACAGCGATAGAAATCTTTGCACCTGTCCTATGGTCATTGTCTGTATGCCGCAAAGTAAAGGGCTTTGCCATTCTTAAGCATGTTATGTTTTAAAATAAATATACACATTAGTTTCTGTTGCTGGGTAATGTATTGACCAAACACAATGAAAGTATACTGCACCTCCGGCATACACTGATGTCCAGTGCCTGGCTGTCCTGACAAATATCTCCGGCACTTCCTTGTATTGCTGGGCTACCACTGCGTCTTGAGGGTCATCTGGTTCCGCAGCTGCCAGCAGCGTTTGTAACGACAACAGTACCGTCCGTAACGTCATGGCAGCGGCCCTGAAAGTACACAACAGTCAGATGAAGTTTCCTTCATACAAGACACAATCTATCTACCTTAATTTTTCTGAATTCTCCGAAAGTCCAGTGAAGCTACTTGACTGGTTCATACAAACATATTTTCAAATCTTTTTCAAGATTACAAATATTTTTCAAGTTTACAAATATTTTTCAAAGACATACAAATTGCTTAATACAGGCTTGCATCATACTTAGTTCATTTTCATGACAACCAGTGTGAATGTTTGCTGTTTATCAGTAGCCCAGATATTCTTAGAAAATAGTCTGGTTTGGACCTAACAATCAAGTCATTGATATAAGCAATGATCCACACCATTGCTGTTCACTGACACATCAACTTGACCACACAATTCATTTACTAATCCTAACCCAGAGAAATCAGGAGAACCAAATCAGATAGGTGAGTGAAAGTCATTTTGTCACAATCAGTAACATTTCAGCTGTTATGATGCATCATGCATATTGCAGTGGAGAATGAGGTATTGGGGACCCCTCTCTTGATTGACAGCTGAGAACACAAACTGTTACAATCTTTAGAAAGTATTGTTAAAAATTAGATCACTGATTGGTATTAATCTTATCTTACATGGCCATGCAGGTCTCTCAATTACTGAAAATCAGAATGTTTTCAAATATATACATATCTATATCTCTCAAACAAAACGTTTTCTCACTTAAATTCTGTTGTACATTTCCTATTATTGGGAGAGGGCTTTTCAAAGTTGGATAACTTAACCCTTTTCTTGAATGAATATAATATGTTTCAATCATTTCAGTTCTATTTATACACATTCAAACTTTTCAGTTACGAACCTGTTTCAGGCTCACCCTACTTATACTCACTAGACAGTGGACTGTTCCATAATACCCGTAGGTGTTACCCTAAATACCCTTCTAGTTCAGTGTCTGTCAACTGACTGTCTGTCAAATGGGTGTCTGTCAATTGGGAGATAACCGTTTTCTTGAGAACCTTTCTCTTAAATACAGTAAACTATGTTTAGAACAAACAAGCTAATAATGAACTGTTGGATGTAAGAAACCATTTTTTTGAGTGAGTGAGTTCCAGTTTTATGCCGCTTTTAGCAATATTCCAGCAATATCACAGCGGAGGAGACCAGAAATGGACTTCAAACACTTGTACATTTAAGTCGAAATGTGTATGAATTATGGTTATCAGGTTATAACAAACTAAAATTACTGGTCTCTTTGAGTTCGTTATCACCATAGTTTGTTGAATAACATCATATCTAATCTTTGAAGGGCATTTAGAAGTGGAATGCATAAGAAAAGCAAGAGTTATGGATGTCAACTTCTTTATTGTGAATAACTCTGAAATGTTGTGTTATTCACAATAACGAAGTTGACATCAATTAATCTTGCTTTTCTTAAACATCATATCTGTAAATATTCACACCAAAATGATGAAATACGCAAGTGCTTACAAGTTCACTGCAGCAATACATTACCTGAAAATGCTACAGACTTACCACTGATCTTTCAATATATCCAAGCATATTGCACCTGTGACTGAGCTGATGTTTGGATGCCATATCTTGGTGACAAACTTCACCTGTAAGTGTAAAGAACCTCATCTATCATCCAGCCCATCCAGATTGTAAAACTTGTACCAAGTCGGGTGAATATCACTGTTGACACTGTAAATCTATAATGTTATGTGCTGTGAAATTATTGTGAGAGTCTAGTTTTATGGCACCCTGTTGATGAAATAATAAAGATCACAGTTACTTCTGCCCATCATATTTTATAAGTAGGACGCAGTGTGATGGAATCATAACAGTCCTTTTAAAACCAAAATGCATGTTGTTATCATTGACAAGGAGGGTCGGAATAGCATGTTTTTGTCCTTTTCCTGACAGAATGGTCTGATGGCTGTACTACTCAGTGTTAAGTCACCAAATCAACCTGATCTGGTAGGTTTCCTGGTTAGACTATCCACACATTTAGTGACAATTATTAATTTAAGAAACAGGAAATTTAATGCAACTGGCTCGTTGACAATGTCAGGAAATAGAAGAAATATTCCTCCTTATGGTCCACTTTTTGATGCAGGGTTTTATGGGACGCAAGATTCCTGCGTATTGGACGCAGAAATTTGGTGAAGTACCCCCAAACTAAAATCCTGTGTGTCCTTGTGGACGCAATATTTATTTTTTCTGGGAAAGAACTTTCTGAGTTTGTAATGATATCCCATATTAAAATATAAACATTCTATTTACAATCATTATTCTAATGACATTGAAAGTAACACATATCTTAACATAATCATTATCAAATGGGAAGCAATCATTATCACTGATTTAATGCAAATTGATGGACCCCCAATTTTGAAAATGGACTCTCCAAAAATATGCCCTGAGTCCCCAGGACTCCCAGTTTCGAAGAGCTATGTAAAACCCTGTTGATGCATAATTATAACTGTGTTATGAAACTACTTTAAGTGTAAGTCACTCGCAGTTTTCACAGTACTTTAATGTGTGCAAAACTTTCCGTATTTACAATACATACACCCAAGAACCAGTTGTCACCATAGTTTTTGTGACCCAACATTAGGAAGCGATTCCACTGACCATTAGGGCTGGGACGACTCCAATATACAGAAGACTTGGGCACAAACTATCTGATGGGGAATTGTTTTACCAGAGCCCTAGTAAATACTATTTACATACACACATCACCTTATGATTCTGATGTGCCCATGGTAAGGAAGGTGATAACCCTGTTCTTTCATAAGATAAGCATAGTAGGATTAAAATATGTACTGGTACTGTGTATCCTATGTGTATCATGAATCAAGTCAAAGTTCACATATCGTGGTGCGGAAGATTTTCTGTGTGTCATGTTACCTACATTAACAGTGTATACATTGGGATCATGATGACAGCTGTTGTGTTGGCTAACTTTGTGGTACCAGACACAGTAGCAGTTACTGGGACAGTTATTTAGGGTGTCTGGGTTGGGTGGGAACTATAGTCTGTTTGCAGTGAAAACGTACCGATGAATTTCGCTTTAAACAAAAGGAAATCAAATAAAGTGAAATTAAGATTGCGAATCCTCTTAATTTTATCTTGCCAATTGAGCGTTTAAATCTCAGAATTTTATTCATCTTAGGATAAAAGTTCTTTAACAAACAATCATAGATTCAAATCGCTATTATTGGTTTGTATTGCAAGGGGTAAGCGTAGTAGTTGGAACAGTGAAACAAATGCACGTGCGGTACGTGATGAGCGTTAACTTAGCCCAACCATACTTGTTCTAGGTCAGAGCTCCAGATAATTGTTCAACATCAGGAGTACTTACTCCTTATTTTTTTCAATATAGGTGTACTGGAAAACCTTAAGAGTACATTTAGAGTACTGAATGGAATTTAATGGTGTATCAGTAATCTTGTATTTCGTTTCATATATGCACCACACCATTGCTGGTCTTGTATAAACAGGTCAATAAACAATAAAACAATACTTTTTCAGATAAATATGTCTGTAAATGATTCTAAGACCATAGACCATTGCTGTGGTGCGTATCTGCTACTTTTTCTAAATTATTTCTTACCGAATCGTGCATATTTTTTTCCGTACATACGCCGATACGGTCCTTATCTGGAGCCCTGCTAGATGTTTCATCTGATGTTCATACCCCCTTGTAATACAAGCCAATAATAGCGGTTTGAAACCATGATAGTTTGTTAAACATCTTTTATCCTTATGAATAAAATTCTGAGATTTAAATGTTCCACTGGCAAGGTAAAATTATGAGGATTCGCAGTCTTATTTTCACTTTATTCGATTTGCTTTTTTGTTTAAAGTGGAATTCATCGGTACGTTTTCACTGCAAACAGACTATAGACAGGACCTGGTACCCACAGGAAGACCTGTACCCATGTTTAGTCATCCCACGTTTAGTCATGGGGACATTGTTTCAATGAAACAATATCACTTTAACTCTATGGCTACGCTACAAGTCACCAATAAACACATTTCTTTCTGATCATGCTGATTGTATGTGCAATCCTTCTGATTTTCATATTCGTGAATAAACATCAAGCGTCAGTCAACATCAGTATATGAAAAACCAGATTGTTTCTTCATATAGTAATAAAATAATGGAAGAAAATATTGAGTCACATAAAGCCTTAAGAAAAGACAAGATACAAAAGTGAGTGAGTGAGTTTAGTTTACGCCGCACTCAGCAATATTTCAGCTATATGGCGGTGTTCTGTAAATAATCGAGTCTGGACCAGACAATCCAGTGATCAACAGCATGAGCATTGATCTATGCAATTGGGAACCGATGACATGCAGGGCTCGATTTAGTGCTTTGTTACTTGCACTGGTGCAACCCAGTATTACAAAGTGCAACCTAGTTATGAGTCTAACTTGCACAAGGTGCAAGTCAATTTTTGAGAAATAAATCAATGATGAATCTAACATTATAAGCATAAATATGTCAGCTCATTTTTCTTCTAAACTTTGAATAGCTATGGCACCGAAACATTGCTATTCATAGACACGTCTCGGCTATGACAGCTCTTGAAAACAGATATCAGCTGTCTCTGTTGCTATGGTTTCATGGGTACTAGGGCTGCACAATATAACCGGTTTACTGGTATTTACCGGTTCAGACATGAAAACGATACGTATTGTTATACGCTGATCGAAAACCGGTAGTTTGACATGCATTTGGAAAACGTCGTAACACCAGTGTTCACGAATAGTGCCTGACACCCTGACAAATCCGGAAGATTTGCCAATGGTCCGATAGAACTGTACAACCCGCCGGCCCCAGTGTCCGACTGTAATGACTTTGACTGAAGTTGTTATATGTGACATGTGACACTTGTTTGCTGTTTATAAATCTAATGTCGTTTAATGCCAATTATAAGAAATGTTAAATCTGTAATGTGTGTTTAATTTTATTCTATGGGTCCTGTGAATTTTCAATGGGTCAGACAGACATCTGAAACTTACAGGACCCAATGTCCTGTTACTTTGAAACACCATTCGTGAACACTGGTAACACTCGGAAATCTTCGGATATTTCCTTGTTTCATTTGTGCCAAATATTATTCACATTTTTATTTTATCATGATTAAAATTTGTTATTAAAGCTTAATCAAGCATAGTGATTTTGTTGTGTTTTTGCTCTATAAATCAAGCAATAACTCAATTATAAGTAGATTTTTGTTTAAAATACTTCATGCAATATATCGCAATGCATATCGCAATACATGCTTTCGCATCGCAATATGAATATTCTCTGCAATACCCACCCCTCATGGATACATCACGGAAATATTTTTATGTGCACCGAAACTTCTGACGTTTTAAACACACTATGTTGCAACTTGAATTTGGCTGATGCAGCTAGGTCTTTATCGTAGGTTGCACCTGGTACAAGTAGGTTAACTTCTCTGAAATTGAGCCCTGATATGTGCCAACCAAGTCAGAGAATCCTGACCACATAATCCCGTTAGTCGCCTCTTACGACAAGCATGGGTTACTGAAGATCAATATTCTTTCTAACCCGGATCTTCACGGGTCTCAAAAGTACTTTGTCAGAAAAAAAGATTAATGTGAAATAAATACAAACAAAAGGTCCCTTCTCTGCAAAAAAAAATAACTTATGGCACCAATTTTCAAACCCAGTCTGGAGCAATTTCATTAGTTTCTGAGGATACTGGTCACCATTCAGACACTTCTTGGCTGTACATACAAACAGCAAATAGTCTTCTGTGAACTGAGGCCTGATTGGTTGGTTTGTTGTTAACGTTGCACTCAGCAATTTGCCGGTCAGTAAGTAATCAAGTCTGGACCAGACAATCCTGTGATCAACATCAGCATAGATCTAGGCAGCTGAGATACAATGATATGTGTCAACCAAGTCAGCAAGACTGACAACGCGATCCTGTTATCAAGCATGGGTTGCTGAAGACCAATTCTAACATGGATCTGATTCACGGCCTTCATAGGATCCTTCAACTTCATTTGCTGTAAGTACAAATGAATCCCATTTTGTGTCATAAAAGCCTCCTTGTAGAATTCCTGTGAGCTTGCACAATGCTCACACAACTCTGTTTGCAAAGGTTCCTAATGCACACAGTCAGCAGGACAAGGGTTGCAAGAGCCTGCTCATTGAGCGAAATGACAAGCTGGTTCTTCCTCAGAGGAAGTTGCATGGTTGGGTTCCCTGAGATTCCACATTCATGTGATTAAAGGTGAGGTGAAATTGGGTTTTACGTCATGCTTGAGAATATTTCGCTCATATGACGACGTGCATGCGTGTGCATGTGTATGTGCGGCTGCTTGTACTAGCCCAGACTGAAGCTGGTTTTATAGTGCTAGCCCACTGAGATACCATGCCGCAGTGAAGCATGAATACCCCACTCAGACACATTATACTGACTCCGAGCCGACCCGTCCTTGTTGTACCCATTAATGCCGAGCGCCAGACAGGGACCAACAAGTACCATATTTTAACGTCTTTTGGTATGACGCGGTCAGGGATCGAACCCAAGACCTTCCGCTCTCCGGGCGGACGCTCTAACCACTACACCACGGAGGCGGTCCTCATGTGATTAAAGGTAATGTAACTGATACATAGCATAACTAACTCAATTATCAAAGGAGCATTGTGGACACACTGTTTTAGCTTGTGATGGAAAATATTTCAGATTTTGAGAGTTTCAGTGATGAACTGCAATGCAATACCAGGCATTAATATTTCAAAACCGTATGCAAAAGAAATAACACAAAAGACTACTGATGATAAACCACACAAATGGCTTGAAAGGGTGGGCATGTGGGAGGGTGGTCAGGCAAGCAAGTGGGTGAGTAGCAACATCAAAGTTGGGCAAAAAGAAATGGGCTTCACACCGTGTGCCCATGTTAGGAATCAATCCTGTGCCTTTGGAACGCAGAGCCAACACTTAAACATGTTTAACCACCAGGTGACCTCACCACACCAAAATTGGTTTTGGTAGTAAAAGATTATATTCACTTCTACTCAAAGTTGGTTACAATGCCAAAAATGGGCTCATATTTTCACAAAATGTTTAGGCTACTTTCTTTGTAATGAGGTATCTTGAAACATCAGTTTTCTTAGAAAGCAGTTACAGTTGTTAGTATAAATGTTCAAAACTTGGGAGGTCCTTATGTTTTGCTTCTGTGATATTTGAATATAGCAACCGTCAACATCCTTCATGTTCAAACAGAGCTCACGATAACGACACCTTGGGTTTTATGCTTAGCTTAATTTCTAACATTGGCCTATAAAAATGAACAAAATACAAACCTTGGGCGGGTTAAAAGGATAAGTTTCTGGTACTTTGATATCCAGTTTGAATGTGCCCCCTTCATATGGTGTGTCAGGAGGTCCTGCTATCTCGCCTCTCAGGTCATTGTACTGGTCATCAACAAGTTCCACCTTGATGTCACACTTAGCAATCTGAAGGAAAACAAGTGATGCAGCATGATGACATTTATTGAACAACCAAAACAAGTAAATATCAGGTAATGTTTCTAAAATACCAGTTCTTCCATAACATGTTGTTTTGGGGGGTAAATGCTGCTTCACACGTGATGACTCGAACCTGGGTTTACAATCCTAACCTCCACTTACTATGCTTACTGTCTGCTAGTAAGATGAAAAGTTTCTATAATGCAAATAAGCACGGTCATTTATTGAACATTTCAGTACATCAACAGAAACACACCACTTTATATGCTGATACATTAAAATATATTTATCCGATTAGACCTACAGTATCACATACTTCATTTAAGAAAGAAATTACCATTGTTAAAAAAATATGTTTCACTTGTCTTCATTGAGACTCTCCTTAGCCATCAGTTTTGAATATGGTACTGAAAGTTGGCCAGTTAAAGTTGACATGTTCAGCTTTTATTGAATAATAATGTTTGCATTTGATACTTGTAAAGACAGAAAGTGTGCATCCTCAATGTCTAACAGCTGAGAAATTTTCGAACATTTTAGGAAAGTTCATTGTGAAGGTCCATGACCTAGGTTTTGTTTTACAGTACAACCCTGATAATCCCTGCCTCAGTTGTCACCATCCCAAACGACATTTTCTTGGGTACAGTTTAGCCTGTGGACTCAGGATAAGTCTGATATTACAACAGCTGCAGTAGGGCTGGGACGATACACTATGTCACGATACGATACATATCGTGATATTTTACCTGCGATACGATACATACCACGATACATACACCTTGAACGAATGACACGGTATCAAGATTTAAAATGATTTATTACAACAACAACATTATAACAATAACACTATTGTAATAAACAAACAAGTAAATCAATCATACTTGCATATTTTTCTCTAAATAAGTACTGTAACATGTTTATGATAATACTGTTTTGCAAAAAAGTTGTGTATCGTTTTGTATCGATACACCAGTCTACGATACAATAGCTGTATCAAACTTATATGTATCGCGATGCATCGATGCATCAGTGAATCGTCCCAGCCCTAAGCTGCAGTGACAAAAGTAGAATTGTGGATGGGTAGTTTCAGTGTTACTTGAAACCTTTACAAGTACCTTACTTCCACAGTTCAATTCCAGAACAATAGTGCATTGACATCCAGAATGAGTTAATTTATAAATTATACCATCTTATCACTGGATTTCGGATGGGACCCGGAGTGTTTACCCTCACTATAATGTGACGGTTTGCCTTACATAGACATTGGGTGTTCCCAACCCCAACACATACAAACAAACAGGATGTCTCATAAAAAGTATAAGGCATTAATTGAAAAGCAGACCAATTACTAAGGCACTGCTCTGCTGTATAAACTGCATTTTAACCTAAAATGCCTTTGATTCAGTGAGTAAATCAAACCATTACAGAAGGGTAACATAAATCTATGATTTAGGTTATTGTTGCACAAGAATGTAGTGGGACAAAATCTGCTCCTTGGAATCCATCCTGCTTATTATTTTATCTGAAGGCAGTGGTTGATCAGTTTTCAGCAAGAAGATGGGCACATGATTAAAGAGAAGTGAAACAGAACATTTCGTGAAGTCTGCACTATTTTGAGCGAGGAAGAATCACACAAATAGTACCACATCTAGAGCTAACAGAATCTGTGATTTTACGTTCGCCAACTCATGACGAGTTCTCATTTAATTTTCGGTCATTTACAACACATGAAAAATAAATACCTCATCACTTTTGATAACTTCTTTGAATTCCCTCTTTATTCTGCTAATGGCGATCGGGATGGTAGCCATCATAAAAATGGACAATAGTTTTTTGTTTGGCTTGTTTCTGAAGACAACACTGTATTCCAACTATAAATGTAACTTCCGGCTAACCCCGAACATGCGCATACCATGACTACCAAAAACCTATGTCGTTAATTTTTGCATGGATTATTTATTGTTTTCGTATCATACGAGAAATTGCTAATGCATATCATTTTGCGTTTTCTGTGTTTCTTCGGCACCCAAAAGCTGAAGTGTGAATTTACTTCCCTGAAACACGAGAAGATGTTATGTTACAAAAGACAAACCACAGAATATCTGAAATGTGAATCTGCTATGGCTCACAACCCATCGCGTTTCTTGTAATCCGTACAAAATATTTTCTGTTTGAGGGTAATTTTATTAAACATACACGATAGTCGTTACCTACAGACACTTCACAATACGACTGTGTATTCCTGATAACCTCTGAAATTAGCCCTTTAGACATTCACAGTTCTATTGTGAACAATGTAGTAGTCATGCAGAAGGGGTCGTTGTCGGCACCGGTACTACAGATATGTACCCCAGGTACGTTTCTGTATACAGAAAAGTACCCTAGCCAAAATCGGAATAGAGAAACGTACCCTTGGACGATTCCATTCCGCAGTGTGTTGTTTTCTTGATTGGAACTGTCATGCAGTTGAATTAGATGCATTTGATTGCGTTCTATAAGAAACGACCATACACAGTAACGAATATTTCGCGGAGCACAAGACCATTTGCAATCAGTTGAATGGGAACAACTACATACAGTTTCGGTTTTGGGTTGCGAAATATGGACTCGTCGTCCGTGTAAGGTGCCGGGTACGTTTCTGTATTTTTACATTGTTTAGGGTACATGTCTGTATACAGAAACGTACCTGGGGTGCATATCTGTAGTACCTGTGCCGACAACGACGTCTTCAGCAGTAGTCATTATCTGATGTTTCTACGCTTTTGCTATTACCTTAAAGGTCACATGCAACCAAAAAATCAAACATAATTAAAACACAATTATCACTTCTTCATGACATATACTATGCATTGCTGATTATGAAAAAACAAATAAACAAAATTACAAGCGTATAATCGCAAATCAAAAGTGCAATATTTTGTACTTGGGTTTACCTCCCTCGAAACGAAGCAGCCGGGATACCGAACCCAGTCAGAGCGGGTGAGTGTGCACTCAAGTGTAACGGCTGGTTCATTAGCAGATGCCGCCTTCACGGCTCATTGTGTGTGTATATATAGAGATGTTGGGTTTTGTAAATACATGCTCATTTTTTGTGTATAACATTTTGCAATCAACAGACATCATAACATGTCATGTGTTCAAGTATCACACCTGCCTGTCTGTGTAATTACATAATGTGACAGAGACAGAACTCGGGTCATAAATCAATGCATTTTGTTTATGGTGTATAGCCTGATTGGTGTTAAGTTCAAATTGCATGTGGTCAGTGATAGCAGTTGTGTATTGAATAGTCATTAGCAGACTGCCAGGCAGACACACAGGTGTCAATAAAACAAGACATTGAGTTTTGTCTGTGACAGCGACATATCTATATCACAGTTAGAAATTGTGTCAACGCTAAATAATGACGTTGCTTTTAAGTATCGACCTGAGAAAGTGACTCGGTAAGAAGAACGTGTGGTGAAATAGACAAATGAAATTATATAAACAGTTTATTTACTGTCATAACATATAAAAAGCTCGCGCCTGTGAGATATCAACAAAACATTATGAAAATAGCTCACACCAAAGCCTTCACCGAGTATTTTACCAGACAGCCCGCTTCCAAGTTGCGCGAACCTATTTCACTGCGCACGTGCTGTGAGCGCAGCCCAGCTGTTGAAACCCGTATTCCCCAGAAAAGTCTGGGGAAAATTAGTGAAACGTTTGAACTCCGATTTCGCGCGGTTTTTTTCATCGCGTTATTTTTCAACTTTATAAGTTGAATTTGCATTTTTGACGCTTTGTTTCGGTAAGTCCATACCGAAAGGTATCAGAATCTGCAAAGTTGTGTTTTACGTTGCATGTGACCTTTAATATATCGACTGAAAAGGGCCTTATTACGACTGAAGGGGTCGTTGTCGGCACGGGGACATCAGATATGTACCCCAGGTACATTTCTGTCTACAGAAACGTACCTTGGCCATAATGAGAATACAGAAACGTACCCTAGGACGATTCCATTCCCATTGTGTCGTATTCTTGACCGGAACTGTCATACTGTTGTATTAGATACATTTGATTACGTTATGTAAGTAATATTAATACACAGTAACGGATATTTCGCGATGCATATGAATACCACTCGGAATCAGTTGAACGGGAATAACTAGACATACGGTTTCGGTTTTGGATTGCGGAATATGGACTCGTCCGCCTTTTAGGGTACCGGGTACGTTTCTGTATTTTGACATTGTTTAGGGTACATATCTGTATACAGAAACGTACCTGGGGTACGTATCTGTAGTACCTGTGCCGACAACGACCCCTTCAGCCTTATTACGCACCGTTCTTAACTTATTCACTTAACCTGTTGTTTGTTACTGGCGCTGAAGGGGTCCTTTCATGTCGGCACTGGTAGTAAACATATGTAGCCCTGGTACGTTTCTGTATACACAGTCAAAATACAGAAACGTACTCGGTACCATACATGGAGTTATTGCCCTTTTTACACACGTGTTCTGAATATCTTTATGAGATAATGTTGGTAATTTGAAACAGGTGTTATGTAACCAGTTGAAAGTTATCCAACGAGTGTTGTGTAACCAAACCAGTGATCAACGATAGTGAAGTCATAGTGCCGAACTTTCTGTTGACAACTCGATATTACACTATAACTCCATTCAAGCAGCTTTTGACCAGAAATGTCAACCAAACACCACGTTAGGTTCATGGATAATTCATTTTCGGTATCTTGGAGATAAGTATTTTTTTCAATTGAATATTTTGAATTATTAATTTTTCTCTCTAAAGTAGTCGTGACAGAGTTGTCTCCCTTTCGTTTGTTCACATCGTCTGCCTGATTTGTGATCATGGTTCACACTGTGTGTAATAAATAGATCACAAAATCCATGGATGTTGAATATGGAAACTATTCCAACACGTGTGAATAAATCAAAACGTTTAAAAATATTTCGTTGGAATATTTTCCACATTCAACACCCGCGCGCTTTGTAATCTCTACATACATATGAGAGCTTTTCGAGATACTAATTTGACTGGGCTTGGTACTACAACGAGTAAAAATAACTGTCATGTAAATGATAATATATGGAATAAAGTAAAATTTTAAAAAACCCCAATAGAATAAGATTTAAGTGATGAAAAACACACACGATTTTTTAGTCCTAACTGAAATATTTAGAAGAATCTCAATTACAATTGATTACAGTCACCAGTGAGTGAGAGAGATAGGGAAGCATCCTGTTGAACCATTAATATACGACCGCCCAGAATCTCCCTTTTCACATTGTGGTATACTTTTGTCTGTTGATTACTGAATGTCATATTTGAAACGCCAGTTTCCAATACCCCTTTCCCTCTGACCCGTGAAGACCGGGGGTAGAATAGGTCTTCAGTATCCTATGATTGCCACAAAAGGCGACTATGCTTGTCGTAAGAGGCGTCTAACGAGATGGGTGGTCAGGCTCGCTGACTTGGTTGACACATGTCATCGGTTCCCATTTGCGCAGATCGATGCTCATGCTGTTGATCACTGGAGTGTCTGGTCCAGACTCGATTATTTACAGACCGCCGGAATATATAGCTGGAATATTGCTGAGTGCGGCGTAAAACTAAACTCACTCACTCACTGATTCAGTACTGGCCGTGTACTATAAATGACAAATTTGATGACTGTGATTCGATGAGGTGGAGAGCTGTCATTGTGCTAATACTGTCCAGACGTCAATGGGTATACACAGTACAGACATTGGACATCTAATATGCTAGTGATAGATGCCAAAACGCTTTATTAACAGGGGAAACACGGTATGTACTCGGACATAACATATCCTAGCGGAGCTCTTTGTCTTAAAAGTTAAAGATGTACAGTCTGCAGCAAGACTGCAGTAAGTATTTGGATAGATAAATGTCATTGTCTGAAAACTAGGGGAAAAAAATGATAAACCAATGGGGTGCATACAGTGTGGAAATAGCAACTGGTCCGCTAGCCCGTGGCCAGTAAACACCCATACGGGCCAGGAAACCTCCCCATGGAGTCACTTGCCCGACTGGCTAGTGAATTTTTGAGTTAATATTGTAAGGGACCGTTCATAATTTATGGCTAGGGTGTGTGTGTGTGTGTGATGATGATTTTTGGGGAGAAACATGTACATTGTGAATGCCGCCCCCAAATTTATGTACAAAATAAGTGACCCCCTGCATGTCATGTACAAAATGAATGACCCCCTCCCCTTCCCATAATTTCTAAGCATAATTTTAAACATACGTTTATGTACAAAATTGCTGCCCCCTAGTACGTGTGTACAAAATTGCTGAAACACACACACACACACACACACACACACACACACACACACACACACACACACACACACACACACACACACACACACACACACACACACACACACACACACACACACACACACACACACACACACAACAAATTTAAAAATGGGTGACCCTCCTTAAAATAATAGCTTTCGGCCGTGGGAGCCGTGCCAATTAACACTTATCAGCAGAGGCAGGGGTACACAAAGCCCTCAGTCTAGAACTATACCAGTTGTCCGACTTCTATTTTTGTGGAAGTCGCGGTAGCTGAGCGGGTTAGGCGGCTGATTTTGTGTGCTGGCGCTGACTCTGAGGGTGTGAGTTCGTATCCCGGATGGGGCTCAACTCAAAAAGTACTAGAATTTGTATTTTACTAAGAAAGTGTAATCCCAAATATAACATATGTTGTATTTCGCGCGCTGTTTTAACGTAACTTTCCCGATATAAGACCATTATTTGTTCCAACTTGTATGTGCTGACATTTCATTGCGAAAATAAAATTTGATAACGGCTGTGCGTGAGCTGGATATTGCGCACTTGTGCTGATATATCTGTGTGAAGCGGATGGTGTTTGCAATCTGATTCCATATCCAAACTCCATTCCAACTTTTCAAGTGAAACTTCGTCTCCCGCGAACCTTGATGCAACATATTAGACCGCAGTCTTCGGGTCCCCTGAAGGATATTGGAAGGATGCCAAATATCAAGGTGTTTAGCGGTACCTCACACCCCGATTTGGCTCAGAAAATATGTGACAGACTTGGCATTGAGCGTGGCAAGGTCGTCACGAAGAAATTCAGCAATGGAGAGTGTTGGTAAGCACATGGTTTTGGGCATTGTTTAGATGAGTCTTGTCACGTGTTTTCACTGCATATTCACTGATATCACACCTAACGATTAACGTCATTTCATTTACCAGTGTGTTTTCAATATGTGGTTCAATATAACATAGTCTAGGTTTAAAATCAATAACTTCGCTATGTATGGAACAGATCATTGGCCAGTTCGATCAGTGGCGATGTCGAAAACAACCTTTCATCATTTGGGGCCCATTTAGGGTTTTGTTGTTTGCCGTCACCTTCAAACAGTTGCTGTCATTATATTACAATGTTTCTGCAGGATGTTGATGATAATCAAAGCAAATGTTGTTTCAAATGAATCGAAACTGAATGTATCTAACTTTCAGCATGTTCACAGAAATTCTTATGATCATACATATGATAGAGGTATCTTTTTTCTTGAAGGAATATACCCATATTGATCGCCTCATGGCAGCAAATGAAGGTATTTTTAGATCAACTGACTTACTAAGTTAGTGAAAGCACTTATTTAGATATACCGATTTAGTGAAAGCATTTGCTTAGATATACCGATTTAGTGAAAGCATTTGCTTAGATATACCGATTTAGTGAAAGAATATGACCTTGAAGTCGACAAACCTTGAAATAGAATAATAATGTCCCTCTAAGCATCATCAGTAGATATGAAGCAGCATGATATAAAATACAAGTGCCCATGTGAATGCAAGGGTTTTAGGAAGCAGTATGAAGTTTTTGCAGTATGACACTTCCTGTACATTATAGCAAGGTTGTTAGTGGCAGGGATTTACCTTGAGTCCTGTATTTGAGGGTCCCTGGGACTCATACTCTTAATCAGGGGTCCTGGACAACAACATGGGGGTCCCAGACACTTAAATATTATTATTAATACTGTTATTGTATTGTGTATCATGATCATCACATTGTTGCAGTAATTAAATTGCAAATAATACCATAACTCGGCTTGTAGCAAACTCAGTGATAACTTATTGTTACTTGATTGAATTTTTACAAAAAGTATTTGGACTTTTTCTGAGTCCCTGTGGACGCTCTTATATATTGTTTTGCATCCATTGTCAATATTTTTGGGTATAGGACACAGGAATTCACGTCCTGTAAATCCCTGTTGTGGGGTATGTTCTGAATCAGGAATGTATGTAGAAAGCACTATGGGACATTCCTTGGCTATGTGTAGCAATAAGATGAAATCAATTTTGTTTACAGGAAGCAGTACAGACACACAGAGGCTATTGTAGCTAGACTTGTTACTTTGAATAATTTGTTGAGTTTTTACCTGATCGGCTGCTTATGTCACATCCAACATTGATTGAAAACGCAGATAGAAAAAAAGATATGTGAGGTTAGAAATTATTTCAAACTTATAACTTATAGATGAAGAGAAAATGCTGCAGTGTATTTGTGTCTTCAATCTTAATATGATTCATTAATCCAATAAAATAGTATGCCAAGGGTTTTACACAAGGCACAAATGTAGAAAACTTATGCAGAAAACCCAAAATACTGCACCCGGAAAGACACTCAAAAATACCAAGAGAGTACCTATCAAGAGTAATTATCTCTAACTTTCTCTAATGCTAGGCTCTACAGTATATGTTGTTAATGGGAATTTACTTTTTCATATCAAATACCTATGATTAAAAGTTATGGTTTGGCAGAGAATATTTATATTCCACTTACGACTAGGGCTGGGACGATACACTATGTCACGATGCGATTCGTATCACGATATTTTACCTGGGATACGATACGTATCGCAATACTTACACCTTGAAAGAATGACACAGTATTAAGATTTAAAATGATTTATTTCAAGATATTTGTATATAACAATAACACTGTTGTTATAAACAAACAAGTAACTCTATCATACTTGCGTATTTTTCTCTAAATGAGTACTTTAACATGTTTAAGATAATACTGTTTTGAAAAACAAGTCGTGTATCATTTTGTGTCGATACACCAATCGATGATACGATAGATGTATCAAACTTAAATGTATCGCGATGTATCGGTGAATCGTCCCAGCCCTACTTACGACAGGTAAAGGGAAATGGCTTTCAGGTTAACATCTACATTACCATGGTTACTGCATTCAATACAATGTTAGAATCTTATATACAATGTTTTGTTAGAATCATATAAAGAATCTTACATAGTGTACCCCTGATTTGAAAAACATCAAAACATAATGCTGTCTATAATTGGACAGAATGCTTTTCTCCAGTTGCCTTCTCACTCAATTGTCACTTTATAATCATTCAATAGATTGTTTTGAGATTTGGGTAATGGCGCTATTGCTTATTCGAAAGGTGCAGTGCAGAGTTTGAAATAGATGTTGTATTTTTGTGAAGAATAATCATTATGAATTGTTGTTTTGCTGAAGTTGAGAGTCTTGGTAAATGGTATTTGTGAGCCTCACATTGGCTTGTTTATCATGGTTCACGCTTGATATCATTTATGCATTTCTAAGAATACTGTTAGTATCTGAGAAGAGACAGATGACATTTCCTTGTGTGCTAGATGGCAGCTCCAGCAGATCATCTCTGCCGATGAGTAAATGAAATTAAGTTGCTGTGAAGAGAGGCCCCTGCACATTTCACTCAGCTGATGGCTACAGTGACAATACGTGTGCATTAATCAAGGAACTTCAGTGGGAACTGATAATATGAGAAAACCTTGAACATGGTGAGAGTATGGGGAACATGAAGTCTTAATCAGTATAGGTTTACAGCTTGACCTTCTGACCTTATGCCACTCATAAACTGCACTGATAAACTACTTGTCTAGCTGGTGGAACCCACATTATGTAATATTTGTGTCCCCTTTCAACATGACCGGCCACACATCATTGAGCACAGTAAACACTGAGGGTGGTGGTGAGTGAAGAAACTTAGATAATGATGTTGACATGCTAGGTCAGCATTGTCAAAGAAGCCATTTTTCTCCATTGTAAAGACTTCCATTTTGATAGTTGTCGTGGTTTTATATGAAGTATAAATGTCCATCCATCAACTGCTTTCTGAGTAAAAAATCAAATTGAACATGGATTGTGAAATATTTCATTCAGGCATTTATCTTGGTCTTCTTCAGGAAGAGTCTAATATTTGTTCCTAGGCTGCAGCAAATGTCAGTATGATTTCCAAGATTGGAATCAGAACTTCCCAAATCATATTATGTAGTAAGACTGACTGACTGAGTTTAGTTTTACGCCGCTTTTAGCAATATTCCAGCAATATAACGGCGGGGGACACCAGAAATGGGCTTCACGCATTGTGCCCATGTGGGGAATCGAACGTGGGTCTTCGGCGTGACGAGCGAACGCTTTAACCACTAGGCTACTCCACAGCCCCTTATGTAGTAAGAACTGTTGCAAACCTTCAAGAGTATTAGTGTCATCTTGGCTCTGCCTCATTTTCAATACATTTCAGTTATATGTGTTTGTGCTGATGGTATTTTATCAGCTAATCTTACTTGATCCAAAATATGTTTTACCTGAGGCATTCTTTGGACAAGAAGTCGCAGACTGCGATTTTTATGTTTATTTATCAAAAGTGACTTGTATGTCACTGACGAATTGGAGCAAAATAATGATTCATTTCCTAAGTTCTCTGCTAGGAGCAGTGTGCTAAATAGCAACTGGCCCGCTAGCCTGTGGCTAGTGAAAGTCCAGTCTGGCCAGTAAATCTCCACAGCCGCTGGTCCGACTGGCTGTTGAATTTTCATGGGGTCGTCTTGTAAATATATCACTCTCTCTGACTTATTAAGTTATAATACTCTTCTGTCATGCAAGGTTATGGCCTGATATAAATATTTATCATATTAGCAGCTTAATGATGAAACCCCTGTCTACATTCAAATTTTGGACTAGGGAATCATTTTGTGGGCTAGTAACTTTAGGACATAGCCAGCCCGACTGGCTCGCAAAATTTGGAAACTATTTAGCACACTGGCCGGGATCACTTAGTTTGGAAACCTGCTTAAGTACCGGTAATTATATTCACTGTTTCAAAAGTGTCATGTTTTTAATAAGCACCTTGGTGTATTATCAAGCAAGTTTTCGAATTCCTTGTCTTGGAGCTTCTTGTGAGGTCTAAAAGTGGTCCCATTTGATCTACCGGTAGATCACAACCTGTTTTAATGAAAGCTGTCATTTGGAACTGTCAAGTTATAATTCACTCACTGACTTGTATAACTTGTAATTTTCTGTTAATAACAGTGACCTGACAAATAGACAATGAACAATTTGGAAAGTAAACTCTTGTTAACGTTAGACTTAAAGCTGAAATGTCTTCTCCCTTGTTATTTGTGTCCAGAGATTCTCCTTCAATTCCAATCTTTTAACCTTGTTTTGACTAGGGTTGGGTATTGCCAAAATTTTCATATTGTTCTATGTATGAGGCGTATTGCAATATGTATTGCAATATATTGTGAAAGTGTAACACATGGCTTAAGGTAATGAAATTACTGTTTCCTTTCTTTTGAAACGATGCCACTGGCCACTGTCAGGACTCAGATGTGATTGTACAAGAGATTAAATGAAAATGTTTCCGAATTGAAAACTCTAAAGTTTGGAAAAAGCAACTGCAGCGGCGCCCGCCCTTTTGGTTTGTTTGGTACCGGCACTCGATGTATTTATTTTATTTATATGGTTTAATATTCATGCAAATACAATTATATGACCAATAAACATTCCCAAAACTATTAATGTATAATAATATAAAGGAAATATAAATATTATTAGTATTTTTTACAACATCACAAAAATTTTTTACAACATCACGAAAATTACCGATCATGTTCATGGAAATTGCCGATCGTATTGGGTGAACGGGTTTGCAGAAAGTGTACCGCAATATATCATATTGTGAAGTTCGAATTGCAATATACCGGTTAACCGGTATTATCGCCCACCCATAGTTTTGACTTTGACAAGAGCCCCAGACTGTTATACTTCTGGGTAGTAGAGATCTTGTTTTTCACCTGTGTGCAGTGTTGAGATCGTTGAGATCGGGGAGTCTGTGTGTTGGTAGTAGAGATTCTGTCCTGTTGCAAATGAGATTGTTTTTCACCTGTCCACAGTGTTGAGATCGGGGAGTCAGTGCGTGGAGAAGATGTGTACATCATCCAGACAGGGTGCTCCGAGGTGAATGACATGCTGATGGAGCTGCTCATCATGATCAATGCTTGCAAGATCGCATCAGCATGTCGGGTCACCGCCGTTATACCCTGCTTCCCATATGCACGACAGGACAAGAAAGACAAGGTACTGTTGATAGGCCTGTTTCAGTTCAGTCACATATTCGTTGAATCAAACCCTAACCCTGTAAGAATTCAATTTGTTATTCACAATCACTTCAAATTCATGATTTTTTAAAAAGGTATGGTTTACTTGAGTTTGGACTTATTTTATTTATCAAAGTGTGATATGCAAAATGGATTTGTATCAAGCCCGACAGGATAATAGTCAACACCCTTACATCAATATGGTGACTGGCCACTGTCGTGAAAAATAAACACTGCCAACATAGTCAAAATATGTACAAGAATATGTTTGTTTTTGTGTCGTTATCTATAATGATACAGCAGCTGCTTAATGGAAGTGCTGACCAAATGGATGGGGTTGACCTGGAGATCGGGATTGTAAAGATCATATGCTGCCATGTATCTGTGCTTTGTTGAGTTTGCATTAAACACCAAACAAACCTCACTCCAGAGTGATGGGGACATCAGTTAAACCTTGGCTTGAGGATGTTCAGTATGTCGAGGGTTCCTGCTTTAAGTTGGGTCACATGTTCCAGAGTCGTGCTCCCATATCTGCCAAGTTGGTGGCCAATATGCTGTCTACAGCCGGCGCAGATCATATCATCACCATGGATCTTCACGCCTCACAGATTCAGGTCAGTGATTATGATAATGATGTACGTTAGATTTTTCGGTCCATTATTATTTCTTCACATTTGCAAAATAACAAGACATCATATGATGTTTTCGTATGTATATATGTTCCAATAAATGGCTGTTGTTTTGTCATGCAAGTGTTTGCCAATAATTAGAAACATTCTTAAATTCTACAATCATAAAGTTTTAACTAATCCTGCAGTACTTACTTCCTGCACTTCGAAAAGTGAAAAGCACAGCTCGAAAAGCGTGTCTTGCCAGACGATGTTAAAAGACGTAGAACTGCAATCACTTCCTGGTCTTGGCTGCTACTTGTCTGCGCATGCGTCACAGGAAGGTGACGTCAGCCACCTCAGATTATTGCTTTCGCACGCCTCGCTAGACGTGTGGGTTGCCAGCTGTTCATTGTATCCTATGGGATTTCTTGTTTGTGGTTAATAAACTGACTTTGTGTGTATTATTATTTTTCTTCTACGAGAAGTGTTTCTAGAAAGCGCCTGGGGCAACAGCGACGGAAGAATATGTCTTCTACTACGGGTAGCGTTACCTTGACGCCGGTTTTGACGACCGCTACATCTATATCCAGTGTTGAAGCGTCTACTGTTTCTCCAAGTGCGTCTGTCATCAGCATCCAGATGATGACCTCGCCTCTTATGTCACTGTGCGTTACAGCGTCTGGTGCTACGGCATTTGGTGCTTCGGCGCTTGGCGCTTCAAAGCTCGGCACTTCTGCGCTTAGCACTCCTTCGCCTCCTACGTTGTTGCCTATGTTGTCACCGCAACGGCCGATGGGTCAACAGTTTGCACCGTGTCAGGCGCCCCAGGCTCCTGTGTCGAAGTCCTTCCCAGTGTGACCGCCTCTGTGGTGTAGTGGTTAGAGCGTCCGCCCGGAGAGCGGAAGGTCGCTGGTTCGATCCCAGACCGCGTCATACCAAAAGACATTAAAAAATATGGTACTTGTTGGTCCCTGTCTGGCGTTCGACATTAATGGGTACAACAAGGACTGGTCGGCTCAGAGTCAGTATAATATGTCTGAGTGGGGTATTCATGCTTCACTGCGGCATGGTATCTCAGTGGGCTAGCACTATAAAACCAGCTTCAGTCTGGGTTAGTACAAGCAGCCGCACATACACATACACACGCATGCACGTCGTCATATGAGCGAAATATTCTCAAGCACGACGTTAAACCCAATTTCACCTCACCTCACCTTCCCAGTGTTCCCGGGGCAGGCACCTTATGCGTATTACACGTCTACAGGTTTTGCCTCAGGTGTCTGATGCAGATGCCATACGGCCAACAGCAGTTCGATATGTCCACGCTCAGCACTCTCTTGACTTTATTATCAGGTCAAGCTGGTACCTCAGCGCCTATGCCGTTCATGCCTCCAGCACAATCGGCGCCTTTCCCTCCTGCAGCGCCTCCAGCGCCTTTGCCACCTCTGCCACCTCCGACGCTTACGGCAGCTATGCCTCCTCCAGCACAGGTGCCTGTCCTGTCTACTGTGTCAGCCCCGGTGCCTCCACCAACATCTCCCGTTGCTTCCACGTCATCAGCAGGCGGCCATAGGTCGAGACCTCGGAGCAAGGCGTCTTCTTCTAAGGAGCCGTCTGAACGTAGCCTTTTCCCCCTGCCGTTCCTTTCACCGTCCTCAGAGAGAGACTTTGCCCCAGACTATTAGGAGGACATGGGATCTAATCACCTTGGTTTTGATCACGTGTTTGACTGGATTGCTGATCGTTTGGTAGCCTCAGTCCCTTCACTGCGACCTGATGTTGCAAAGTCGCTTACTATTTGGGACTCGCCTTCCTTAATGTTACCGACACATGAGGCGGTCAGGGAGATTCTATCTACACTTGATGAGGATTTCGCGGGGATGTCTCTCAACCCAACTATTAAAGAGCCTAGAGTCCGACGTGATGACTATCCTATTCATGGCTTGGATTTTCCCAGACAGTGATTAAGGTGGATGAGGAGATAAAACGTGTGACAGGCTCTTTCTCTGTCTCCTCCTATAAAGTTCAGGATTCAAGGGTAGCTGCTTTGGACATTTGGTTGGGTCAACACCAAAGCTGGCACATAAACAGTTTGGAGTTGGAGGCCATGATCCTCGCTATCCATCACTGGGCTACGGGGAACTTGTCTTCTGGTGGCGACGGACAACACGACGGTGGTGTGGTACATCCGGAAACAAGGGTCGACATGCTCACAGTTTCTTCTTGACCAGACTTTTCGGTTCTTTCAATTGGTCGACAATCTCCACATTCTTTTGAGAGTTCGGCATATTCCGGGGTGCCGAAACATACTAGCAGACGCTCTCTGAAGACCCGACAGTGTAGCTCCCACGGAATGGATGCTACACAAGGAGGCCTTCACACTCCTGAGTCACGCTCTGGGTTCTCCAAACATAGATCTGTTTGCCACAAGTCAAAACCATCAACTGCCAGTGTATGTGTCCCCAGTCCCGGATCCAGCGGCATGGGCGGTGGATGCTCTCAGCCTATCGTGGGAGAGGCTTCACGTGTATGCGTTTCCGCCGCTGGTCCTACTAGCCAAAGTTCTCGCAAAAATCAAGGAGACGACACCCTCACAGCCGTCTTCTGCATCCTGCTCCAGATCGGTTCAATCTGCACGCATGGACCATTTACAGAAAGCACTGAGTGCTAAGGGTTTTTCCGCCAGTGCAGCCAAAGCCATTGCGACGGCGCACAGAACTTCTACTAGACATTTGTATGACGACAAGTGGCAGTCGTTTGAACGATTTTGTGTTACCAGGAAGCAGGATCCGCTGAAAGCGTCTCCTCAGTTCATAGCAGATTTCCTACTTATCTCCGGACGACCAGGCGTCTGAAGGGAGGCACCATTGCCACATATTTGGCGGCAATTAGCTCAGTTTTAGCGGTTCCCACTGACAGCAGGATTTCTAAAATCCCAGAATTACAGGCCAAGTTTCGTTCGTTCAAACTTGAAGAAATTGAAGTTTCAACCGCCCCGCATGGAATCTCAACACTGTTTTAGACCATCTACGTGATGCACCTTATGAACCACTTGAGAACGTTTCCCTCGCTTTAATTCAGGAAAACAGCTTTCCTTTTGTCTGTAGCAACAGCGGCTAGAGTGAGTGAACTTCACGCCCTCGACGTGACTAGTGTCAAGTTTGAGCGTCGTCATTATGGTTCTGTACATTTGGGTCTGTGTTGGGATTTCATCGCTAAAAATCAACTACCAGGTCAACCTGATCGACAGTTTTCCATTCCGCCATTATCATCTATTGTTGGCACTTACATTGACCGCACCAAAGGCGTCCGTGGTACACGGAAACGGTTATTTCTTCCCCTGTCCCGGGCATCACAATCTGATGTCAGCAAAAACACAATTGCCTTATGGTTGAGAACTACCATTCTTCAGGCATATAATGCGGCTGGGCTGGACCTCCTACGTCCTTCCATCCACACAAGATTCGAGCGCTTGCTTCGACTATGGCGCTTCACAGTAATTGTACAGTGTTGTCCATTATGCAGGGTTGTTTCTGGAGGTCGGACACGGTTTTTGCCAGTCATTATTTGCGTGACATGGCTGTCAAGGATGTTAACGATGTCCACAGCTTCGGACCATTGTTGTTTGCTCAGCAACTCGCCATCCCCCGAAGAAAGTGACCCTCCTGCCTTTTGTTTTTCTTCCCACCAACCACCATGTGGGGAATGAGTTGTTTTTCTTCAGAAACAACTAGGTATGTCAGTTAAGGAGTAATACTTGTGTTTTCAAGTCCATGCTTTTTACTGCATTCCTTAAGCTTCTCCAGCTTTAAAATTAGTGGTTCTTTTCATTTATGACTCAGTCTTATTTGCGAATTACCACTGCCTGATCATCACTCGCTGTTCGCTCTCTGTTCTAGGCGCATTACCAACGCTCACGAGCACAGGATTTACGGATTGAGCTGGCTGCTTTTATATAAGCGAGGCGATCCATCAGATGACACGCCCACCTTCCAGCCTGTCAGATAAAGTGCAGGAAGTAAGTAGTGCAGGATTAGTTAAAAATGTAGTAAAATCTAAATATTTTGTATATTTGTATACTTATCCTGCACTACTTATGATAAGGGCCCACCCTGCGCTATCAGCTACCTCCCTGCTTTGTTTGTTATCTGCGGGATTTCTGGCAATAATCTGAGGTGGCTGACGTCACCTTCCGGTGACGCATGCGCAGACGATTAGCAGCCGAGACCAGGAAGTGATTGCAGTTCTACGTCTTTTAACATCGTCTGGCAAGCCACGCTTTTGAGCCTTAAGCAATAAGTGCAGGAAGTAAGTAGTGCAGATTTAGATTTTACTAATTTTGCATCATCTGTCATTCAGTGAGACTGAGTTTCTCCCTCCTCAGCAACTACTGGACCAACAATGATTCAACTCTCTGTACTTGTTCCTTCAAATTATGGCCATTGATCAGTTTGTTATTTCTTATATTTTCAGTCAACGTTGGCTCCATTTGCCGACAGTCAGTGAAGTATCTCAATTCTATATCTACTTCTGATTCCATGTTTCCACATCTTGTGGCAGGGTTTCTTTGACATTCCTGTCGACAACCTCTATGCAGAGCCAGCCGTCTTGAAGTGGATACGTGACAACATCACAGACTGGAGGAATTGTTGCATTGTCTCCCCTGATGCTGGCGGTGCAAAGAGGTCAGTTTAAAATGTTAAAAACACTTTTCCGTTGTTTGTTTTTAAGCAAATCTTAAAGGCACAATGTCACATTTTGGACAATATTTTGGCCTATATTAAACATTGGGGCATATGCACTCACTTAGCTTCCTATTGATGCAATTAAAAACTTATTATCCCTTACGACTTGCCTGGATCTTCGAGGCGAACAGCTTCCAAACAGAGAACACTTGCCATATATGGAATGTAAACAATTACTCTGTACATCGAAAAGTGTTGCCGGTGTTTGCCGAACTGGTTTCAATCACAAGTTGTGCAAAGAGCACTCCAAGGGACATAACTCTATGGGGTTAGCTTGAAATAATTGACTTGTCTTTGTCTTCTTCTTTTTGTTTGAGCAGTATACATAGCAGGTCAATCCAGGCAACAAAGTGACCCATCTTACAGTTTCCAGTGCTGTGTTTCAGGGTTACATCCATTGCTGACCGTCTGAACGTGGACTTTGCCTTGATCCACAAGGAAAGGAAGAAGGCCAATGAGGTAGCCTCGATGGTGCTCGTGGGAGATGTGAAGGACAGGATCGCCATCCTGGTGGACGATATGGCTGACACATGTGGAACTGTTTGTCATGCTGCTGAAAAGTGAGTATTTGTTCTCTTCTTCTCCTTCCATGGTAAGAATCGGGTTCTTCATAGAACATAATTGGTTCTGCGATGAGTGTGTACTTGCGATGACACAACTGTCCATGTAAGTTTAATAACAAGTTGAAATAGTCAAGAGACAGTTGATTGTTGTATGATTGCTAGGAGGGTTAGATCCTTTAAAGGTCACATAAACCCTAGGGGGTACAAATACATAAATCACTAACTGGCATCGTTATAAATGAAACCCCGTCATTAAAACTTCTCATGTCGACCTTTAATTGACTTAAATCGACCTTTTTGACAACAGTGCACAATTCTCACCCGCGAACGAAATTTCAACCAATCAGAGCGGCGCGCCTTCTGTGGACGTCATATGAGGAATAGCTTTGAGAGCCGATGCAGAATTCATCTACATTTTAGGGGTTAAATTATCTTGTTTACAGGCTTGTATAAACCTGAAATCGTGACAACTGTTGTGGAAAATGAAAGCTATATGTTCTCACAATCTACTGTCATTTAATTTTGTCTCCTGCTTTGCCTAGTTTCCGAAGTTACAACTTGTTTTCATAAACGATTCTGTCAAAATCGATTGGTGTCGTTAGTCCCTATTTGTATAATGACTGATCCAAATTGATCCCATTTCTGTGTTGTTTTACCTCGATATTTAATCATGTCATGTAAAAATCTGTTTGTATTCTCAAAACAGTGTCGGCCCATAAGTTTTCACATGCAATACAGCAATTAATACTCCCTCGTTGTAACCCGTGTTAGGTGGTATAAACCTACACATGTTATTTGTCATCATTCACTTGATGGTCAGTTAATGAATTTATAACAGGTATAATTAGTGGTAACACACTTAGATTACCCGACAAAGGTTCCCATTTGGCATTTCTTGTGTCTGGAGTAAATATTCAACATTATAAACATCGATCAAAGGATTAACCGATAACACGCTGATTGATTAATTACTTTTATCTTACACAGCGGAATTGTCAAAAGGTAGTGTTTATGTATGTAGATTTACTAATTTATACTGAATACACTCTGTCGTGGTCGGTGTTCGCGCGAAAACAACGTCCTTCTTTCAAAGGATTAACCGGCAATACATTGATTGATTGCCCATTATTGGCTAACTAAATTACTGTTTTAAAGAAAGGCGGACATTATGCAATTAGTTGCCAGGTGTGCTATCTTGGGTGACCAATGAGACTATACACCAATACCTGAAAAGATTTATCACTTTTTCAGATATTAAACTGTTAAAAGACACATCATTTGGAACAGTTTGTGGATATTGATGGATACATTCCTCGAACAAGGTAATGGCCTGATATTGTTCCTATAATTTTAATCTGTTTTAATTTTAATATTTGCATTTTGTTTTTATTCATTTGTCGTAGCATTCAACAGAATCATTGTTTTCGCCGTGAAGTGTAATGAGACAGACAACATGCACTAGGATGTGTGTCAAGTAATTATGATTCACATTGGCAAACTATAAAATGTCTAGATATTACAGTTCTGTTATAAATTCACTATAAGTATCAGCAGATCGTCTGCTTTTTATTTAGTTTCAAAATGCATACAAGTATGATAATAAACTAATTAGGATTATAAGACCAAATATAAAAGGCACATTGACTAGTATCTACATACTGGTGAGTGGACATTAACCATGGGAATGTAGCAAGAAATTTATCGCGCGAGTATTGTGACTTGACCCCCACCTGGCTTCCGTGGAAGAAATCGTTATGTTATAAGTTGTGTCATGCAAAATCCGTTTGGTTATGATTCCAATACATATTTAACTACGAGTAGAAAGTAGTCTTGATTTTCTAACTTGATGAAAACAAACTATAATCTCATTAATTCTAACAGATTTTTTTATTTTTAAAAATGGCGGCGCCCTGTCGGGAACATCCGCCAGTCTGAGGATAAGTGGTATTTAGGTTTGTTTTCACCGAGTTACAAAATCAAAACTACTTTCTACTGGTAGTAAAATATGTAATTTTTCCTTATCCTGACTCATGCTCTTTTGCTTGTCTTCTTCTTCTTGCGAACATAGTGGAACACTTGTATCTCCTTAATTGAAGCTCCCTTCAATGTAAAATCACTAATTGGTACTCACCACGAGTTGCCTCCCTTGCCCTTTTGGCGGGAACAGGTGTCGCCACCCTCTGGCCTCATGCTTCACTCTCTCCTTCTTCGCCCAGTGAGCAGGATGTGAGAGCGCCTGTGTCTCCTTACACACTATATCCTTTGGTTTTTCTAGTTTATTACCTCTTATAGGTTACTATAGAGGTATAGCTAGTATCCTTCATTAATTTGCATTGATATTTAATCGTGATTTCTACTGTTTATTCCATTGAGTTAAGTGATTGTTCAGCTAGTATTTACGTTGATGAAAATCTGTACTATTTGCAATTTACGTTTTCAATTGCTGACCCACATGTATTATGCCCTAGCTGTGCTTTCGCCTTTGTGCGTTTGATACACGTTGCAGTTACTGCATTAATCTATCAATTCTGCTTTTTCATAAATATCTTTGCGTGGAGACGTTATCGCAGATAGGTCACGCAAACAAGGGTTAGACATGGCCGATACATCGGATTCCCCTTCCAGTCAGCTGCTGTCGATAGACCCTCCCGTCTGGTGTTTACGCAAGAGACTCCGTCCGGAAGATGGGCGTGGGATGCAGTCCGCCAACACTAAGAAGCGTCCTGCCTCCCCAGACGCCCCGTCATCGCAGATAAAGTCCAAGAGGGCCACGACGTCTTCCCAACGCAGACTTCGGACCCCAGGGCAGCGTCGACATCTAAGGGGAAGTCTCCACGAAGTCGTCAAGAACTTTCTCAGCCGAGATTGTTCCAGCCGCGCCCGAACTGGGCCTCTCTCGATGATCAGCCGATCATCATCCCTGACGTCGCCACAAGAAGCGACCGGTGACAGCTACAGTGACATCAGCAGAGATCGCCATGCAGCCTGATGCCTCTACACTGATGTCAGGCGACTTCCTGAGGGGGTCAGCAGCTGTCATCGCAGAGAGGGCACCGACTACGCCGTCGCCAGACCATCCCAGACGAGCTGTTGCGGCAGATCATGACCATGATGGAGGCCACTACAGTCGGGAAGCAGCCAGCCCAGGGCCCGAAAGCAACGCAGACGATACCCCAGAGGCACCCCCAGTCAGCGTAGCAGCCACGACGAAGCAGCCGAGAAGGAAGTCACAGACCACCTCAGCGAAGGGCGCCCAGATGTACAGTCGTCGCGAAGGCCTTCACGAAGACGGGAGAGATCGTCATCATCCTCGACCTCATCCTCAGATGCAGACTCAGACCACCAGACGTCACGGAAACCGTCACGGAAGTCACGCCGCTCCCCAGGTCCGGACGCAGAGGAAGCTGCACGAAGGCCGTCACACAGATCGTCATCGTCCAGAAGGACGTCGAGGGACTATTCAAGAGCTTCACTGAAGCCGTCAACATTCTCCTCGCAGATCTAGGTCTTCCCATAGACGCAGATCACCTAGAAGACGATCTCCCGCCGTTCACCGCGCCGATCTCCGCATCACCTCGCAGGTCATCACACAAGTCGGCACACAGGTCTACACTCAGGTCTCCCCGAAAGTGTCACCCGACATAGAGATAGCAGCCCAGAGGTCACCATCAGAAGAGCATCAACCTCTCATCTCCGATGCTGGTACAGAAGATGATGGAGGCATCATCTTCTCAGACGCTGAGATAAGATATTGGATGGTAAACAACCTAGATTTATCTTCACCGTCCAAGAGTGGCAACTCAGCGCAGACATACCTGATGAAGGAAGGCGATGCAGACGCCATCACCTTACCTCCGATCGACCGATTGCTGCGGTGCCACATAATCTAGATACAGCCTTCATTAAAGCTACGAAAGTGCAGACTCCACATCTGCCGAACTTTCCGCTTAAGAAGTTCTCCACAACATGGACCCCTTCCTGAAGGCACAAGACATCGATGAAAACTACAAGCTGATCAGCGATGTTAAGAACAAGAACTACAAGATTGACGATCGCAAGCTGGTGCAGATAGAAAACATGACGAGACGCATGTTCTTTGGCCTAAATAGATCTAGAGCGATCAATGAGACACTTATCACCAGATTTACGTAATCTGACCCTCTGAAGATGATAGGATGATCTACTCGGCCCTACTGATGCAAAAAGAAGGACCAGCAGTTCCTTACAGATCATCTCACATCTGTCTCAGCAGCACTGACCTTAGCTTCGTCGTCAAGGCCTCCTCGCTTCCTGCAGCTGGGGTGAGAACTTTACAGCTCCACTCTATACAGCCCGTGGTCATCCCCAAACATCTTTGGACGGAGGAATAGACAAAGTCTCCAAAGGAAGTCACTAAGGACTCCAGAGAAGTCCTTATGATCAAGTCGATGGACAACGCTTAGCAAGCGTCATCAGGCAGACTTCACAAAAGATACTCAGGAGATCTAAGTTCTCGGGACTACAGAAAGCACGGGATAGGAAGATAGCCAGCGCCAGAAAGATTCTTTTCGTAAGCCCATATGGCAACTATAGAGGAGGGTCAGGAAGAGGCAGGACACCCAGAGGTTCCCGCAACTATAAACGCTGAAAGACAGGTTCGAACGACTGGAGTCTTCCACCCCAGCCGTTCCAGTACAACCGTCACAAGTGGGTGGGCGCCTCCAACTACACTGGGAGAACTGGGGAATGTTAAAAGACCCTTATGTCTCCAACATTCTTCAACACGGATTTCGTATCCCACTACAGGCCACGCCCCCGCTGACAGTCAACCCTTACAAGTTTGGACTTACAGGCACAACAACTACCAAAGTTAAGAGAGAGGCGGTTACATCACTCATAACCAAGCAGGCCATAGAAGTACTAGATCAAGTAGACATCGAACCAGGCTTCTACTCCCAGTTTTCCTAGTACCCAAGAAAAACTCCAAGGAGAAATACAGACTCATTTTACAACATGAG